ACCTTTTAGATCGCTTGATTCTCTCGGATCTATTCCTCTTTTGCCTTTTATGCGATTTTCTGCAGAGTCTCGGATCGGATTTTTCGATTTCTCATCTTTTATGAATAGGATGTGCGAATTTTTGTCCGATTCTGGATCTTTCCGGACTGTGCTCTGGCTTTAATTTCACGCAATTCCAGTTTTGTTCTTATTCTGGATTTTGGGGTAATTAGGGTTCGTGTTTTTGTTTATGATATAGAGTACAAGGTTCATGCGTACAATAGGAAGGGCCTTTGCGCGGTTGGGTTCATGGACGATCATTATCCTGTTCGAAGTGCCTTCTCTCTTCTCAATCAGGTATCAGTCGTTGTTGTTTTCCCTGTAAATTTGGTCTCCTAGTTATAATACACTTATAGATCTCATCAGGAGGAAATGATTCGGTTTGCTTGACATTCAATTTTTTTCTCAGGTCCTAGATGAGTACGAGAAGAGTTTTGGTGAGGCATGGAGGTCTGCAAAAGAAGACTCCAAAGATCCCTCCTGGCCATACTTAGACGAAGCTTTAAAGAAATTTCAGGTTATTCACTTGTGAAACTTTATGCGCTCTATTTTGCCTGTAGATCTTGTTAAAAACTGTAGGTATAAGCTCAATTTAGTGGACATTAAGAGTCCCCAATCGACTGATTCCTCAGGAACTAATTTGATTATCCCCAAATTGATTGTGGATTTTGAGTGATTTGATGTAAAGTGTTTTTTTGTTATTGCCATATATTTGTTATCTTCAGGACCCAGCAGAGGCTGATAAGCTGTTGAAAATCCAGAGGGAGTTGGATGAGACCAAGATTATCCTTGTAAGTGGAATCTCTTGTCCTTCCTTGTAGACCCTTGCAAGATATACTTCTATGTTCTCCTTTCCAATTTCCAGTAAACATGCTGAATAGGCATAAATGCTCTCCCCAAATAGTATATGCTGTTTTGTCAATGAGTATAGTTTCTTATGTAACCTCAAAGCCTTGCAGATATGAAGATGTTTTTGTCTCCCCAAACTGAATTTTGGTGTTCTCTATTACAGCATAAAACCATTGATAGCGTTCTAGCCCGTGGAGAGAAGCTGGACAGCCTAGTGGAGAAGAGCTCAGATCTGAGCATGGCATCGCAGGTAACATTCTAGCATTGTCGCATACTATCTTTTCCAAGCTTATTTAGCTTTCTCTTTTCCCTGACTCCGTCTCTGGGTACAGTTGGTTAATACGGTAGAAAGGGCAGGATATGAGCTAGCTTGAAAGTGTTGTAGATAAATAGAGGAACTTTAGCATGTTATTGTTATGGTAGATAAACAAGAGGAGGTATGTGAATGATTCTGACATGAGAAACTGATATTTGGTGTATTTTGGGTGAAACAGATGTTCTACAAGCAAGCTAAGAAAACGAATTCATGCTGTACCATTCTGTGAGCTGCATGCAACTCTGGATGTCCTGAGTATATATACAAGTCAACCAAACTTTTGCTGGGAGGGGAGACTGTTTTTTCCTATTACATTATACAATTATGGTTTTCGTGTCTTAAATAGTTTGCTTGCATTTTGAAATTCCATAAGACTTGTGTCGTGTGGTGTGTTTATCCAAATTCATCAATGTCACTTCAACCAGATTTCAATTGTCTTTCCCAGTTATTATCTTGATTGCTTTTGTGTGTGTTTTCCTTATTATGGTAAATAGATGACTTTGTTACTACTTATGCAAATAGATATAGATGTTCAAACTAAACAAAAGCAGAGGGGTGATAACTAGAGTATAAAAAACAAAGGAGAAGCATGTATATATATTACACAGACGAAACAAGGGTCCTTTGTGTTTGTGTAGTCTATTTGCCGAATAGAGATTTGATCCACCAAATGCCCTTTTTATCGTCAGGGGCGGTGTCGGTTTCCGGTGGTGTGTCACTCTGAGGTGTCTTGTGAAGCTTGCTTACGTCGTAACCTTCCTCCACCGCTTTCTCAACCAGCTGCTTGTATGTCTCTTCCTCCACATGAGCAGTCCTGCTCAATATCTACACACACACACACAGCCAAATCCCATAGTCAGTACTCAGTATTCCAATTATTCATCATAAAAAGAAAAAAAAAAGGCAAAAAGCTACCGACCCAGAGATAGCTCCTGGAAGGCTGGCCGATCACGGCGTGCTGGTAATCGGGATCTATGTACAAGACCCAGTAGTCACCGGTGACGGGAAAGATGGGTAGGAAAGGAGGGACATAGAACTTGACTTTGAACTTAGCCTCATCGGTCTTAGGATCGGCCTTGTATGCACTGCCTTGGATAAAAGCTCTCTTCCCTCCGTTCCATGTCTCGTTCAAGACGTGCACCGTACCGTCCGGGTTAAGTTTGTAGGTGGCTCGAGTGTCGACGCCGTTCCTAGGCTGAAAGAACGAGGGGAAAGAAGCAATCTCGTACCAACGTCCCATGTATCTCTCCAAGTCTAGCCCTTTCACAACCTCCATCTCTTTCTTCCCTGCCATCTT